GGGGGGGGGGGGGGGGGAGCTCAAAAACAACTCCAATTGAAAAATCACAGCAAAACCTGCAGTCAAATCTTTTTTTCAAGAATGTCGAATAAAATTGAAAAGGGTATCTGGGACTTACAGTTTTAACATCAGGGGTAGCATTGGAATTTTGATCAGAGGTTAAGGAGGACATAGGAGATGAGAAATGAGGTGAACGAAATCTGTGCAGAAGAGGAAGAGAAGTACAAGGAACAAGAAAACTAGAGCTAAACGGAAGAGAACAAAAACGAGGACCAAGACGAAGATGTAGTAAAAGAGGAAGCTGAAAGGAGACACGTGTTGGTCTATGTATATTACGAACATTTTGGGTAAGCATAAACAAGCTTCTTTTGTGACATAGCCATGGCGGCTCAAGATTGTTCCTAATAATATAGTGGGATTTAAAGAGTGAGTTTGTGATACAAGATGATGTGGAGTGTGACACCAATGCCATTTGAATCGTTTTCAGTTGACCATTTTTTTTGGGTTCTGGATTTTTCGTGTAGATATGGTGGGAAAAGCTAAGGATGATGAGCTTGGATTCTGAGTTGCATCTGAGGTAACTGGAGAATTCCAGTCCACTGACTGGAGAATCTGGACCAGTAAAATCTTGGGCCGCCCAAACAGTTTGGTTAAACCAATTACTAAAACATTTTCCATTCTAGTGTATACTCCTTCCTGTCAATTTTAGTCGAAGAAATCCGTTTTGCTTTTTTAGCGTTAATTAGTAATGAAACTGACCATATTAAAATTAATTTATTCATTAAAAATATAACAATACTTTTAGGTTCTCTAATCTAATGACACTTTGTTCTTCTTGATATTTGAAAAAATTAAATATTATAGACCAAAAAAAAAAGCCAAAAAATCAATTAAAGTGGTTGGGAGGGAGTAAATTTTATGGATTCTTATAGCAGAAAAATAAAATGACTTTAAAAATGAATGGTCTTAATTTTTGACTCCCGTTGGTCTTATATGCAAATCTTTAAAGTCAAAAGTCAAAAGTGTTACTCATGGAGCAAAAGAAGAGCAACAATTATTAAACTTGAAATTCTGACCATGAGGCAAGTTGAGTCAAAAATTTAATAGTGGCACCGAAGAATCATATTTGTGCAAATTACCCTTTTTATACTGTATAGTCGTGCATCCAAAAAAAAGTAGCCAGCAAATATATAATATACTTATAATTAATATATGTATCTGTGAAATAATTCAAGAGCTGTTTTGGGGTAACCAATTACGATAAATAAATATTTACATTTGATATTTACATCAAATTAAATAATTTAATTGTAGCAATTAACATTAAGGTGAAATAAATATCATGATAAATACATGCATAAAAGTTACTTACAAAGTATCTTGTATTTATTCATTTCTTTGTTAAGTTTAGCGTAAACACTATATGCAAGTGTGATGACCCAATATGTTATCTTTAATTTTAAACATTCATTTCTGTGTTCTGAGACCTCAAATAGTACCTTTCAGCATTTCTCGACTTGCGTGTACAGTCCGTATATTTTTTTCAGAAATTTTTTTATGTGAAATAATGCTTCAAAACTCACATAAGTTGACTTCGGTCAACATTTTGAGCAAACTGACCCGGATCAGTATTTTGACAGTTTCGGTAGGTCCATATCGTGATTTGAAACTTGGGCATATTCCCGGAATTGAATTCAGAGGCCGCTAACGCGAATTATCGCCATTTAACGGAACTAAAAATCTAAAGGCTAAAGACTTTCAAAGTTTGACCGCGAATTTGACTTTATCGATATCAGACTCCGATCGAGATTCCAAGAATTGGATCTTTATTACGTCGTTTATGACTTGTGCACCAAATTTGAAATCATTCCGGATTTTGACACATTTCGGCGCGAGTTATAGAATTTAAAATTTCATAAATCCATGTTTATATTCATCGTTTATTTCGGATTTAGATGGAAGAAATTAGAATTTTTGTAAAACTTTCCAAAAACAAAAATTTAGGATTTGAAGGTCTATTTGACATCGGAATTTGATAATTTTTGTATGGTTGGACTCGTCTCGGAACGGGTGTTCGGATTTCGTAAGTTTAGTCGTGGGTCCCACTGTTGATTTTTTTAGATGAATTTCGAAATTTAATTTAGAAAATTAGAAATTCCACGTAGAATTAATTCCTACGAATCGTGTTGAGTATATTGAATAATTTGTGACTAGATTTGAAGCTTTCGGACACTAATTCGCGAGGCAAAGGTGTATTGGAATCTTGAGTTAGTTGCAAATCGAGGTAAGTGTCGTGTTTAACCTTGATTTGAGGGAATAGAACCCTTAAATTATTTGTTAAGTGAATTTCATGTGTAATGATGTATAGGCGAGGTGACGAGTGCCTATACGTCGTCAAATTGATTGTTTGTATATTTATGTAAAAATCATAAAATATTTTAAATCATGAATTAATTATTATATTAATTATTTCTCTCATATTCCTTGTCCAATATTATGTCTTGAATTCATTCTATAATTGCTATATGCTTATTTGAATTATGTGTCTTAATTGCTACTTGACATTTAGCATATTAAATATTAAATTGCTTATTTTCTCCCTGATTTTCACAATTAATCTTGTCTTGTTCCTTGTAACTTTTCCATATTCACCAAATTTGTTTCTAAAGACCCATTTAGTGTCAATCACTATTCCGTTCTTAGGTCTTGATACTAGATGCAAAACTTGACTTCTCTCAAATTGGTTTAGTTCATCTTGTATTGCATTCACCCAATCTGCATCCTGCAAAGCTTTAGAAATACTTTTAGGTTTAATAAGAGATAGAAAAGCATCAAAATCACAGAGGTTATTTAAAGAAGATCTGATTTTGATTCCGGAGGTTGGATCAGTGATTATGTTACCAATAGGATGAGAACTTTGATACTTGTAAGGCTTCACAACCAACTGGTTTCCCCTAGATGCTCCTCCAGTGTTTTGTTGCTGAGGAACAAGTTCATGGACAGGTTCCTCGAGGTTTGATGATCAATTCCTCTTTGTTCAGTTCCCCCTATCAGGTTACTTGTCATTACTTGTTTTCTAAATAAATCATAATTTTTGTATGCCTTGTTGCCTAATAATTTCTTATCAAATGTGGTATTTATTGGAGTATTTTTACATTTAAGAATTGTTAAATTATATTGTTGGAGCGGGTTGCACGCCGCAACGGATTTATGTTAAGTTTATATTGTTGGAGCGGGTTGCACGCCGCAACGGATTTATTGAAAGATTATATTGTTGGATCGGGTTGTACGCCGCAACGGATTTTATTCTAAGTTTATATTGTTGGAGCGGGTTGTACGCCGCAACGAAAATTAATTGAAGGTTTATGACTGCTGAATTGACTTCAGTTATTGATATGATTTAACCGTTTTACCTCTCTTTCTGTTGTTATTATTATTATTATTATTGCGTACAGGTTAATGTAAGCGACCTGCCTTAGCCTCATCACTACTTCGTCGTGGCTAGGCTCGGCACTTACAGAGTACATGGGGTTGGTTGTACGCATACTACACTCTGCACTTCTTGTGCAGATACCAGAGTTGGTACCAGCGGCGTATTGTAGATTTGCTCGAATTCAGCTATCAAATGAGACTTGAGGTATAGCTGCACAACGTTCGCAGCTCTGAAGTCTCCTTCTACTTTATCTTAGTTATGTGCTTTCTTTTAGACAACTTTATTTTATTTAGACCATTGTTTGTATTATTCTAGAAGCTCGTGTGCTTGTGACTCTAGTTCTGGGATGGTATTTAAACATCGTATTTATTTTGGTTTGTTCACCTAAATTCAAATATTATTTCGGTTGTTTATTTCATTACTATTTAATTAAGATTAATTGTTAAAAATGGTTAACTTATTCTAACGTTGGCTTGTCTAGCAAGTGAAATATTAGGCGTCATCACGGTCCCAAAGGTGGAAATTTTGGGTCGTTGATAACAAATCGATAGGGGATTCAAGAATTACTAAAAAAAAAAACGTACGGAAGCTAAAAGAAAATAGGGAAACGAAAAAGAAGACAGAAGTTAAAGATAGATTGAATTCAAGAAAGAGTTTGTTGAATTCAAGAAGTCTATTCTTGAAGTTGACTCCTAACAACAACAATTAGCTAACGAAGAACTAATCGTCTTTGGTAGAGAATTAAAAATAAGAGATAGATTATGAAACCCGACCCTTTAGAATAAGAAGAACAACAATAAGCCTAAACTCATCACCTTTCTTGAATACCTAGAAATGATCTAAGATTTCGAAAAGGGATTAATCTTACCACCTTAAGTTGATTCTTGAAGGTTGAAGAATAAATCCAAGAGTATCCACACATAAGAGTGCAAGAAAAATCTCACATTTTTTGTTGATATTATCAATCATAATCTGCCCTAAAAACAAAGAATACACCACTTTATATAGAGAGGAAGTCACGAAATTCTACCACAAAAACAAAGAAAGAAAGTCCTAACTACTTTGGACAAAAGTCCAACTACCTTAGGATAGGATCCTAAAAGTCTAAAACCAATCTTGAAAATCTTAGAAATCTTGGAAAAGAAAGAAAGTCCTAACTACTTTGGACAAAAGTCCAACTACCTTAGGATAGGATCCTAAAAGTCTAAAACCAATCTTGAAAATCTTAGAAATCTTGGAAAAGAAAGAAAGTCCTAACTACTTTGGACAAAAAGTCCAAGTACCTTAGGATAGGATCTTGAAAGTCCAAAACCAATCTTGGATAGAATCTTGAAAATCTTGAAGGAAATTTGCAAGCAACTTGGCACCAACTTGCACTCAACTTCTAGCACGACTATTATACCCTTCTTTGACATCAAGTAAGTCCTTTTTATATTATAAAAGCGTGACTTCATGTAGGACTTATTGGGTTGCATGTTTGGACACATTTTAGGTGCCAAAATTGTCCCAAAGTGGACTGATTAGGACCTTCTTCAAAGGATATCTCTTGGGATCCAATACTCCTCTTCTTAGACATAAATTTGGGCCATAAAACAATTGTAACACCTAGCCAATTCATATCCTTTATCCTTGAGCTCTTCCTCCCAATTAACAACTTCTTTATTTGTACTTGAAATATAATGACCTTGTTTTGCAACTCTTTAGCTTGACATCTTGTTAAAGGCCCTCTTTAAGATTCTAAAGCTTTATCCTTGTCCTTGAATATAGTTGAGCTTCCTAGGATGCTATCAGTCGTGAAAGTTGTTATCAGACTAAGTTAAGTAGGTCTCATGAGTCACGAGCAAGTTTAGTAGAGTCTAAATGATCGGTACTGACGTATGTACTTATTTTCCAGAGGCTATGAAGTATAGGAACAATATCACTTCTTTCTTATTGTGTCGTGCTATTGTATTCTATCATCGATGAGCGAACCATTCTATTTTTATTCTCTCGCAAATGGCGAGAACATGTAATACATCTACCGGCGGACAGGGACCAGAGCCCCCAGTGGCAACTATGACCAGGGGTAGAGGCCGAGGCCGAGGTCGTGCCAGAGGCCGAGGTAGAGGCAGAGGTAGGGCTCAATCTAGAGCTCAAGCAGAAACACCTGTTGTAGAACCTTAGGTGGATTTGGGAGCGAAGGTTCCATCTCAGACTGTACCTGTTGGACAAGTTCAGGTCCCG